AGATATAAACGTTTGTAATAATTTGCATATATCCACTGATATTCTAAAACCGCAAGTGTCTCAACAACTTTTGAAAGTACAACTAGATTGCATCCATTGGTGTTTCGCCTGGTTTCAGTTTATAATTTGGAAAAAGAGTTTCTGCAACATTTTCACCATGCAGTAACTGTGCATTTGTCATATGTACGCCATTAAACTGTTCATGTCTTTCTCTTATTCTTTCCTGCATCTTGCGATAGCCGACGACAACACAGACTTCCTCCTGCATTTCTTTCCCTTCCGGATGCCCAAGGATGATGACTCGACCATCTGATAATTGCCAATTTCTTACCATTGGGCCAAGTGGAACACGATGGGTATGATCTTCGTTTTGTTTTAAGTGAAATAATTTATAATCCAAGAATGGATTCTCAAGCGTGGTGTCCCGTTCTTCATCAACTTCTACAGTGAAACCATCTTCTCTTTGTCCAGGGCGCAAATAACCAAACAAAAGAGTGATGGGCAAGTTGGGATCTCGAAGCTCATTTCTTTCATCTTTAATCATCCTGTAAACATGATAGTTCGTTATCACCAGCGCGTCCGCCACAAGGAAACATGTCCCTCGAACTCTACCACATGCAATTTGACCAATGGATTTGATGTATGAAGCGAAAGGTTCATTCAGTCTTGCAGGCTTTTGAGCCGATGCATTTTTAAATACTTCACTTCTTGCAAAGTTAAAAATTTTTCTATCCCCGTTAGCGAATTTTCCATTTTTTCCACCAACTTGAACGTGTTGATCCAAGAAGTTTGCGTGTACTGACTTTTTAACATTTTCTGTCATGGCTTTACGAACTTTCTCAGTGAAAGGTTCCTTAATTGATATTTGGCGAGTATAGACGTACGATGGAGAAATTTCTTTGATGTATTTTTCCATAAGAACCAAGTCTTCACAGGGTAATTTTTCTGTTCTGCTTGGGTTGCACGCTTCTTCCATCAACGCATCTACCCACTCGTCTGAAAAAATGAAATGAGAGGATTTTTATAATTTTGCATCGTTATCATGATATTTAAAAATCCGAATTTCGAAAGGGATTTCACTTGTGAGTGAAGGGTTAAAAAAGGTGCAATGCAAACATATTAGCGATATCAAAATACGATGATTAGGGAGCTTTACAGCAGCGAGTACGAGGTTTGATCGTGTGCGAGGAAGTCGTAGTCGTTCTCGCTTTTGTTCAAATGTTGTTTTAGCAGCAAACAAATACAAGGGAGAAAATTTCTATAAAGTAAATCCCCTACAAAATCAGCCCCTTCTATGAGGAACAATACAAGAATTAAGTGCAAATAAGTCATCAATAAGTGGGGTTAAAAACAAGCCAGATATTTAGCCTGAACATTTCCTATATAATTTACGCTACCGCTTTCAAAAAATGCGCCGGATAAACGCTAGGACTATGCCAAATATTTCTACCAACTTTCTTTGTTTTTTTTTAAACTAAGAACTACGAGATTTCTCTAAAATTTCGTACGTACTCAGATGGGCGACGGTTACGACTTTTTCGCGTCAGTACTGGATGGCGTAAGCATACAGCATGCGTAGATCCCGCGGACACAGAGCAGAGACATACAGAGACGTAACTAGTGTACCTACTTCTGTATGTCTTATCTACTCTGTGCCGCGGAAGCATTTCGAAAGTGGAGCGGCATTGGGCAAAAGGGGCGCTTTTGTATATGACCAAAATCAAACGATTTTATGTCATTCACGAGCCGAACGAAAATTGTTGAAAATTTGTAGAATCTCCATAACGTTGAAAATGGCCTTTACAGAGTCTTTTATACTACTGCAGAAAGGGCACTTTCTTTCCAGCAAAAGAAGGCGTTCATTCAAGAAATACTTTTTTCGTTCTTTAAATGGGGCGCCTTAGCCCAGAAAAAAGGGCACTTTTTTCACTTTTAAAAATATGAGGGGGCACATGCCCTCATTGCCCCCCCCCCCTCCGGTTCCGCGACACCTGAGCATTTTAAAAATGTGTGGGGGCGCATGCCCTCATTGTCTCCCCCGGTTTCGCGGCACCTGAGCATTTTAAAAATGTGAGGGGGCACATGCCCTCATGCATTGCC